CCTGCTTCCTTCGGGCTTCGCTCCTCTCTCCGCGCTAGCCAGCTGGTCAAGGAGAGTCGCAGTTTTGTCACCCCTCGCGGATCCGAAGCCAGGAGGTGTGCGGGTGTGAAGGGCTGGAGTTCCACCCGCAAACCGTGCGGCCGGGGCTCTGGGAACTGGGCAGAGAACCTTGGCAGAGACGTTATTGCCCTGATTGCGCAGCGCTACAGTCCTGGTCGCAGGCCACAGTGTTGGCCGAGGGGCTCAATCCCCACAAACTTACCTACCCCGCGGCAGAGCAGCCGGCACTTCTGTACGGCAGCGCTGGGGAGCACGGGGGGGGGCTCCTCCTGACGGGGTTCCGAGTTACATAAAACTCGGCGTTTTTATATCCTTTTTCTGCAAAGTCATGACCTTTAACAGATTTTAACACAAGCATGCGTGTTATGCCCGCTGTTAATGTTGACATTTACAATGATCGGTCCACCCTATCATGTCACTTCATTAATATTCCTATACTAATATAACCATTAGTTATTTTACTGATCAAAATCTCTGATCTACAAATCAGGGTGGAGAGGATGTGAGAGTCTTCACAACAACATTCCTTTGTGTCTACGGTTCCATCCCACGAGAGAACGAGCGGAGACTGTACCATTTCACCCCCCGTACCTGCCTCCCTGCCTCCCCGCCCTGTGCTCTGCACCATTTCACCCCCCGCAGCAGCTCTGGCTTTGGCCATCTCCGTAAGGCAGCAGCTGCTGGCTCTGAGCATCAGGGAGGGTTTGGGTAGTTCTTGCCATCATGTGAATTAATTGCATCAGGAAGTAAATACAGTTAAATATAAGACGTTAGTTATTCATTAAAAGCAATTAATTATCAATGAAAAGTTAACTAGCTATTCAAAATTCAAACCTGATTATGACAATGGGGGGGACTGGTGGCACCCCGGGGCCGCAGGCCTGCCAGGCCACCGCCTGGCCTGTTGGCCCAAACTGCTGGCACCAGGGATTGAGCTGTGGGTGCCCTGCTGAGGCGTGGGGCTGCGCCGTGGTGTGGCAGGAGTCCGAGGGGAGCCCTGGGTTCGTGCTTTAAACCCGAGGGGAGCCCTGGGTTCGTGCTTTAAACCGAATGAACTTTCCTTGAGGGCAGCATCTTGCCATCTTGTAGGAACTGGAAGGTAAAAAAAACCGAGGGGAGCCCTGCCCAGGCAACCTGTAGCGAATGAACTTTCCTTGAGGGCAGCATCTTGCCATCTTGTAGGAACTGGAAGGTGTGAGATTGCAGGAGAAGAGGAGGGCAGGCTTCATCTAAGGCATGAAAACTAGAGCGCGCTTTTTTTGATATTTCTCAGCTGAGGTAACTGTGGGCTTTTTGCCAAAAGGTGCTTTTTCGGGCTGCTGTGTCCCGTTGGAGCCTTGAGTTGTCTCATGGCGTGGTGAGCTGCCTGGAAACTCGCGCAGCGCACAGAGGAGTGAGAAAAGTGTGTGATTGTCAGCTCTCGCAGCAGCGGGAGGGAGAGCAGAGCCACGCTTTCAATGGCAGGCTGCAATTAGAGCAGGTTTAATGAGAGACTGTGAAATGGTACCAGTAAATTATGTCCCTTCTTCCAGAGGATGCTGCCAGACTCTAATCAGGTTATTAAGATCCCTTCCACCGCTGGTTATGAACTGCAGGTAGCTCAGTTTCGGAGCCCTAAGGTGGAGGGTGCGATTCACAGCAGTACTGTGTGTTTAGGGCACGGTTTCATGGTGTGGTTTTTTGATGGTGGTTTTCTGGGCTGTTTTTTCCTGCGTCTTTCCCGTTCACAGGCAGTTGGACAGATGCAACTGGTGAAAGGAGAGGGTCAGAAGTAATCTTGAGACCCACCAACAGTTGTACTGGTTTGAAAAAAAAACCGGTGTTTCGCTACCTCATGGCTGCGGTGGGATCCGGGTGGGTTGGGAGCGGCTTTGAGCAGCTTTGCTGCTGAGGAAGATTTCTGGGAAACAAGGGCTGTAACCTGCCTTAGAGCAATCCAGTTTTCCTCGGTGGGAGGAAGAAGAATGCTTCAAGCTTTGTAGGGTGCCGTTTTCTATCTGCTCTTAAATTTAAATGCAAAAAAAAATTAAAAATCGTGTTATCCCAGACTCTTGGGAGAGAGCTGTAAGGTGCTGACCTGGATAGATTCCTGGTGTACTTAAATGGAAATGACCTGAACTGACTTGACTGTGCTGTTGCTCATTGCAGTTACTAAACTACTTTATTTTCAGGTAACTCTAGGCCGAGGATTAGATCTCACGTACCAGCTGGTGTCAAAGACCTGCCCCTTGATGATCTCCCGAAAGCACTGCGTTTTCCAGCAAAATGCAGAAGGGCAGTGGACTGTCAAGGATAACAAGGTACCGAGACTGATTAAAGACCTTGTGCTCTGAGGTTCACTGGGGAGGGTGCCCTTTTGGGGCTCCAGCGATGCCTGGGCTGTGATATCACCCCGTGGAAGTGTGACGGGAGGTCCGTGGGCTGCCGCAGTTGGGATGCGAACTGTCGTGCTTTCTGCACGTAGGGTCGCCTCTCGGTTTAGCGGTTCTCAGACAATTGTAGTCTTGCCAACAGCACTTTGCAGCCTGGGGACCTCTTTTGAGTGGCTTTCTCAAAGAAGAGCCCTGTGAATTTTGGCAGTATTCAAAACGATGGCGCTCTTGTACCGCTGATGAGAGGCTAAGCTGATACCCCTTGTTGTAGGGACCCAATTGCTTTAATTGGAATCAACTGCCACAAGAATCCGTCGTGAGGAAAAACATGCCTCATGCTGTGCTCGAGCAAGTTTCTTCTGAAAGCCCTCCTCAGCATCGAGTGCTGACGTCGGAGCCCTCAGCTAGGGCTCGCTGTGACGTCAGTCATCTTTTTTTTTTCGTATCGTGTTCTCTCTGCTTTCTCATTTGGGCTGACAACGGTAAAATCAGTAACTTGCTTTAAAGCAGCGCTGGTAGAACAGAGGGGTTCAACCCATCAGGCAGGTTTGAAGGAAGTTTGGGTCGGAAAGGAGCGGGATGGCTGCTCCCCAAACGACACTGCTCTTTAAGCACAACCCTGTCGCAGCGCTCGTATCGGCTCGGAAGCTGACGGTTACTGCGTGGCTGGCAGCGTCTGGGGGAAGATGAGCATTTCCTCTGTTGTCACCGCTGCCGGGTCCTCAGGTTGTCTTATCGAATCTCTTCTGAGTTGTTAATGATTCTGCAGGTCAGCTTGAGCACAGGTCAGTTTTAAAACTATTTCTGAAGGTAGTGTCTCATCTAAAACCCTTTTTCTGCTTTGAACATTATCTCCAAAGACCGTTTTCCTTCTTGTATATATTCTCCCTGGAGAACTGTCTCTTTTGTTCTTTAAGCAGTATAAGCTGTGCTCCTTTTTCTTTTCTGTTTCTTCATGGATTTCAGGTGACATTAATTGTCAAGAATAATTACTGCAATATTCTATGTTCTTGACAATGATCTGTTGCAGAGTTGTCTTTTTATTGGTTAGTTCTTATTTCTGAAGTTTTGGGGCAGTTTTTTTCCCCTTTAGAGTTCGTTCTTTTGCCTCAGCACAAGTGCGTGTATTAATGTTGTCCTCAGGGCTTGTACACAAAATCTGCAATGCAGGAGTAATGCACAGTAAATAATATAATGCAATGACTGGAATAAATGGGACGCTAAGCCAGTAAACTGCATCTTGCAAGGTTTATTGAAAGCGGCAGCTTGTTCTGATGGCAACACCAAAAAGGCTGGATATATTTACAGTTGCCAGAAATAACTTGCAGAGGACTCTGCCTCTTAAATTTTGCTGATTCTCTGTTCATTCGCAGAGTCTAAACGGTGTGTGGCTTAACAGACAGCGCCTGGATCCCTCAAAAGCCTACCCTATTGCTGAAGGAGACCGTATCCAGTTGGGAGTGCCTTTGGAAAACAGAGAGACTGCCGAATACGAGTATGAAGTGATTAAAGAGGAATGGGAGAAAATCAGGCCCTTTTTAGCCCAAAAGAGCGACCTAGGGAAAGGGAAGAGTTCAAGAGCGAAACGTAAATTTAGTTTGGAGGAGTTGGAGACGTCTGGATCAGAAGGGCCTTCAAACTCCAGATCCAAAAGAGACAGAGTGTCCTGTGACAATGAACCTTTGGGTAAATCATGGGGCAGGGGAGGAGAGGCCAAACAGTTACCAAAGACCGACATCACGCTGCCTTCTCCCGGACCGAGCGAGGAGGAGAGCAGCCCGGTGCCCAGCAGCCCTGTGTGCTCTCAGAAAGCCGTGGCTGTCCCCCTGCAGGACCAGAAAGGCTCTGGTCTGGCACAGTCGTGGACTGGCTTGGAGATGCTGAGGAAAACCCTCGCGGAGATCCTGAAGTTGAAGGTGAAGGTGCAGGAGAAGCAGGCGGCCGTGCTGAGCGTGAGGCAGCGGCGCAGGAAGTGTGCTCAGAAGGAGATCCTGGCCATGGAGCAGGAGCTGCGGGACTTGCAGGACCGGCTGTGCACGGAGCAGGAGCACCACCAGCAGCAGGTGGAGGAGCTGGAGAGGACGTTCTCCGAAGAGCAGCAGAAGCTGGAGGTACAGCGGTGGTCATCTTTTGGGCCTCTCTCTTGTCATTTTGTGGAGTGCCTGTTGTAAGACACTGATCCGAAAGGAGGTCTTGAACCATGCATTAACAGGATTAATGGTGGTGTGAACGACTGCTGGTAGAATGGTCGTGGAAGTATTGAACTTCCAGGCGTGTGTACCAAAAGAAAGGGGTTGAGCTGCATGGGGAATTAGGAAAAAGGCACAAAATAATTAATTTTTTTTTTTTTTTTGACAAGCACGTTCATTACAGCAAGATAGGAAAGCATTTCAGTTAGTAAAACCCCATAGTTTTAAATAAAAAAGTCAAAATCCTCTGCCTGATCCCCTGTGGTTAGAGAGGACAAGGGGAAAGGTAATCACCTAAAGTGTGAATTTCTATCTTTATGTGGCTGAATTAATGCCCAGTTTGCATGGCACATCGTTCCCTTTCCAAGCAGGTGAATTGCCGTGTGCCTTCCTCTCTGGAGGGAGGGAGATTTTTTCTTTCATACTTTCAAAAACCCCTTTACTGCAGTCTGTAAGTGACTTCAAGCAGTATGTGTATGTCGGTAAGTAGTGGTTTTTAGGTAATGAACTGAAGCCTTTCTATTTGAGTTGGCTCAAAATCTGCTTTAAAGAAATTAAGAATTCATCCTGGAGTGAGTTGCATCATTTTATCAGTTACCTCCTTCCAAGCCTGCTGCAAAGGGCAAGGTACCTGTGTCGGGAGTACCGAGAGGCTGGAGCTGTGTGCTTGGGCACAGCGGGCGGTTCAGCTGGAGCTGTGGGCAGGGCTGACCTCCCTGAACGTGCCCGGAGATAGAGTTGCAGCTTGTTCTCACGTTGGAGCAGCCTGACCTCTTTGCTTCGATGAGCATGCCGGGGCCTTCAGCCCTAAAATAACGTGGGGGTGTTCCAAGTGGGTGACTGCGCGGGGTACGTCCGTTTTACCTCCTCACAGCAAGTGACAGCTCTGCTTTCTGTCCTACACGGGGAACACGAGTGGGATGTCTCTTGTTTCTTTAAGCATATCCTCTAAAGAGTGTCAAAGTAGTCATTTTCTGTCCCTTGCTTTCTTCAAGTCTTTTTCTTCCTTTTTTTCTTCCCTTCCCCCCCCAGGGCAGAAAGAGGCAACGTGGGGAAGAGAATCTGAAGGAGCAGCTGGCCCAGGTCCTGCAAGAGGCAAGTAGTTATGAGTCTAGGTTTGGTCTAACTCAGGTATTTAAATCTTTCTTACGGCTGTGGCCTCTCGGTAGAAGGTGAGGACTTTGCCTTAGGTGCAGACTGGGCGATCTTCATCTACAGACCGGATCTCTGTCTGAGTGGCAGACCTTGCTTTGAGGGAGTTGCTGTTTGGCAGCAAATAGCGTGAGAATATGCACTCGGGTTGAAAGCATTAAGTAGCTGCAAGGATGGCAGTATTTTTTTTATTATTATTATTGTTATTTTTTTTAATTTGAATTTGGTCCTTGGGCTGGTGGCCTTTTTTTTGTGAGGTCTGTCTGCTGGGTATATATGTTTGGGGGATGTTGTTTTGGCAATTTTTAACCAGATGACCAAAAAAATTCACTCTCGGTTAGGAACGGTTTTGAAAGAGATTGCCACATACTTCAGCTTTCTAGGCTTTTTCCAAGAGGCCTTTCCTTTTGGAAAGCTAACAGGGAAACAGCTTCAGGTAACCCTGCCTACAGTGGCAGGTCTTTGTCCTCCTTACGGGTCCAGTACCCCTCGATACTCAAATGCCTGGGGTGCACTGAAATGGTGACGTAAAACCTAAGGGAAATGAAGGAGTGACCTGGGAGAGGGAATGAGAAGTGCCATAAATAACTGGCAGGCCATAAATAACTGGCAGAACATTCCAATTTCAAGTTAAGGCTAAACCACCTTAACACCCCGACTCTCTGTATAGGCATGGGTTGCTCTCTTTGGGGGAGATTAAGAAAAACAAGGCTGCTGAGCCTCGTGACTGTGGCCGTGTGTATTTAATGGGATAGCTTATAATGGCACTCATAATTTACGGGCTGGCCTTGTTACAGCATCATGCTTTGATGGAAGAACTGAACCGTAGTAAAAAAGATTTTGAGGAGATAATTCGGGCCAAGAATAAAGAACTGGAAGAAACCAAGGTAAGGAATCGCTGAATTCCCAGTTTTATTCATGAGTGAAACGTGGTGTGCTGCAGCAGAGGGAATGGTTTAGTTAACATTTGTCTTGGCTGTGCTTTGCCTCCAGTAGTGAACAGCTCCTGTGTTTCGAGGTGGTAGCTGAGTCTAGTTTCCAGGATCGGGGGAGGATGCGCCTCACCCTGCTTATAAATTAGTGTTCAACAGTCATTACTAGATCTTCTCCATCCTAAAGAAAGCCCAGAGCACCTGAACTGTGTGGTGTGCGGAGGAAGTGGGCCCGTTCCACCCTTTCTTTAAAAAAAAGAGGTGTTTGAAAAGTGTTCATCTTCAGTTAGAGTGCGTTCAAGCAAAACTGCACTGTTCCAGCCGTCCTACAAGGACTGAAACAACATAGAATTTGAATAATGATTGAGATAAACCACGTTTCTTCCCGTCCTTGACACAAGGTGAGGGGTGGGAAATAACTAAGGAGATCCCTTCCTCTGTCTTCCTCTTGGAAATGATCACGTTATCCACCTCTGGCTGTTTGCTTTATGGTTTTTGTACGTCATCTTTGCAACTGCTGCTCTTTCAAGTATAGCTTCAGTTGGAAGAATTTCTCTCTTGTTTTTGGGAGATGGAGCAGCTACCTAGGAGCCTAATTAAACTTCGAACAGCAAAAATTACTGGGCAGTTAAATGCAAGCGAATGTTTTAAATTCTTATGCTTACTTTTTTAAATATTGGAGGTATTTTGTCTGTTGGGTGTCTTGCCCTTTACATCAGACATCAAAAGAACTCTTCTATTGACTTAAGCCAAACCCATGCCAGGAAGAGATTGAAAGAGATTCTGACAAGATCCATCCAGCTGGTAGGTTCTTTAGCCTGAAGGGAATTTTGATAATGGCTGCTGCTCTTGCTTGTGAGTTCTCTGCAGTGGGTGGGAATAGTCTCAATACTGCCATGGCTCCAAAGAGGAGAGAGGCTACAGATCTGGGTAGGTAATAGACACGGACTTGACCGGTGGAGACTTGCAGTTGTGTGGTTTTACTGTTCGTACTGCCTTCCCCGGCACGTGCGTTTGCTGCCAACGTTGTACCGAGTCAGAGCTTGCTCTCTGTTGGTGTGTGACCCTATGTACTTCCCCACCAGGAGGAGAAGGAAAAGGTGAGAGCCCAAAAAGAAGAGGTGTTGAATCAGATGAACGACGTGTTGGAGAACGAGTTGCAGTGCACAATCTGTTCTGAGCACTTTATCGAGGTACGTTGAAGCCAGCGTGGGTTTGCTGGTAAAGAAGAGCCTCGAGAAGATTTCCCTAGTTCTGTTAAAGCAATAATTAAGCTTATTTCTTTACTTTGCTAGTTTAACAGTCCTGACAGACCCACAGCGAGTTGTGGGTAAAGGTTTGTCCAGAAATCCATCCTGTCTGCCCTAACTCTTCCCCTGGGCAGCGAGTTCAGCTTCAGTGTCTCTGCCTGCAGAGAGGTGGGTGCGTAATTGTAAGACACATGTAGGCTTGCAGCAGTTCTGGGTGCTCTGAGCTGCTGCTGCCAGCCTGCTGGGGCAGGAATCGGTCTGTAGGGGACCTTGCTTTCAGCTGACTGGGGTTGGGCTGCTTCTGGCTTACAGGTGGGAAGAGGATAGTAAAGGAAGGGAGGTGCAGCGTTCAGGCAAGTCCTGAAACGTTTATATTGAACGAGTAATGGTTCTAAACTCAAAGAGGGCAGGTTTAGGCTGGATATAAGGACGAAATTTTTTACAGTGAGGCTGGTGAAACACTGGCACAAGCTGCCCAGAGAGGTGATGGAAGCCCCAGCCCTGGAAACACTCAAGGTCAGGCTGAACGGGGCTCTGAGCAACCTGATCCAGCTCAAGATGTCCCTGCTCCCTGCAGGGGGGTTGGACTAGGTGACCTCTAAAGGTCCCTTCCAACCCAGACTGATTTATGATTCTATGATCGTTCAGATAAAGAGAAATTGGCCTGCTTTGGGTTGATTCTGGAAGTGATAGGTTGTGCCTGGAACGTAGGCTGTTATTTCTGGTCGTGTTTTGCTAGAACTTCAGTGTCATTACATTAACTACAGGAAATCTGTGTTAGCCTTGTTGTAACGACTTAGGGGCTAGCTGAAGCTTTAATTTCTGGGTTCTCAGTAATTTAAGATGCTCTTCTGCAGTATCTTGAGTTTTCCTATAATTTATCCTTTTCAAATTGGGGAGACTTAGAATTGAATTCACTCTTCTGGTCTGTGTTTGTGACTTGCTGTGCCCTACAGTGAATTGTTAACCAACGTGTAAAACTTGTCTGCACTCTGGCCTGGGAGAGTTTGTGTGTGTCACCCCTACAAAGGCTAAAGGCAGGGGGCTTTGGGCTCCCCCCGCCTCTTTGCCTTATAGTGTCACGGTCTGCTCAGTGGACTCGTGAGGGTTCATTTGCCTATAGCAGATGCTCACCTAATGTTTTCCTGACTTCAGTGCTTTTTTCCTTGACAATTCTTCTGTGAGCATGCCCTGCTAAGCATCCTCCCGTGGAATTCCACAGGCCGTCACGCTGAACTGCGCCCACAGCTTCTGCTCCTACTGTATCCACGAGTGGACGAAGCGCAGGGCGGAGTGCCCCATCTGCAGGCAGGAGATCACCTCGCAGACGCGCTCGCTGGTGCTGGATAACTGCATCGACAGGATGGTGGAGAAGCTGGGGGTGGAGACGAAAGAGCATCGCCTGAGCCTTATCAGAGAGCGGAAAGGTGAGAGGTGGGTGGATGTGGCATGATGAGTACAATCTCTCATTCCATCTATTTTGTACAACTTTCTTTCAACCTATATACCAAGGAGGTGCTCGGGGAATGCAGGAGGAATGCTAGGAAATTGATTTTAAGGTATGTTGTGGAACTAGCTTTGCTGCACAGTGAAATTAATAAAAAGTTTTGTAAAAGATTTCGGTATGAGTGCCACAGTCAAGTGGGACGACTCAACCGTGCTAAAGGTTAGGCTGTTTCAGAGATCACTAAATCAAAGCACAACTATGGAGAATGGGCCTTGAAAAATTTACAGGGTGCCTTTTGATGGACAACATCAGTGCAAAAACTCACAAGTGCGGTGCCTGAGGAGAAACTCTGAATCCTCTTCTGTGTGCCGGCCTTGGGTCGGAAATCCCTGAAGTGAGTGTTGGTCTGTCATGTAGGGCTGAACTGGTGGTTGCTGTGCCGTGTTAATTGGTGTGGAATTAAAGCCACCGTGGCTCAAATGCGTCACCTCTTGCCTCATTGTAGCTAAAAGACTGTGCGCAACAGTGACAGCTTTAAGTAAAACTCCAGTATTGCGTATTCCTCTTCTGCTTCCCTCTGCCAAATTTGTTTCCAGAGCACTTGACGCTGGTATCTAGGTGCTGAAATGTAGAAGGCTTCTCCTGCTGCCCCCTAACAAGTTTCTGTTGCTGTGTTCCCTTAAGTGATTGTCTTGTTTTCCCCTCATAGAGGTGAGGGCGCGATCCTTCGTTTTGCAGTGTGTCAAGGCTTTCACCTAACGAAAGGTGCCCTTAAAACGTCTGAGATCCTCCATGGTGACACAGAATGACGTCACTAAGCAGTGTTGGCTCAGACCTGAATTATAACCTCCTGAACCAGCTCGGGCTGGTTCCCTGGGGAAAGGCTGCGCTGCTCCGAGGCTGCCCAGCTCGGCTTGGTGCTGGCTGTCACCTCGGCGGAGCTGGCGCTGCTCTGGTGGAGTGTGCGCCTCTGCCGAGGGCGCCACAGCGCTACTGAAGGGTTTCACCGGAGGTGAGGTGAAGGGGTGCCTTCACGGGAGCCCTCTTCGTTTCGTGCTCTCCCTTTTTTGTTCAAACAAGCATGAAATAAGCCTACGTTGCTGTGTGATAGGTGCTCTAATTATATAAATGACTATTCGTGGGGAAATCGTTTAGCTTCACCGTGACACACTTCAGAAGGAAGGATGAATTGCTTCTGTGCCGTCTTTTTATTCAGTGATGGAAACGTGTTGATGGAGATGAAGACAACCACGTGTCTATTTAAACGTGAATTCCTCAGGAGAAACCCGCTGAAAGAGAAATAACGATGCAAGTGGCACTTGAGAAGCTCCGTGGGAGCTTCCCCAGAAGCCTTTCCAAGAGCCTTAGTAGGATGGGCACCAGTGCACTCATAAATGTCTGGAGGTTGTGGTGGGGCCGTAGGTGTCCTGAACAACCACTGCTTGTTGGAGAGCTCCTTCCCTTCTTACCTGGCAAGGCGCTGTAACAGTTAGCCGCTTCCAGTGCCGGTGAGGGGGTGGAGAATGTCTCCTCATCTGTGCTATCTTAACAGGAAGAGGCATGTAGAAAACTTGAGAAAACAAACCAACAGGAAAAAAAAACCCAAACCCTTTGTTCTTTTAGTGCTGAAAGTTGAAAAGAAGGTGGGCTATGCCCTGCAGCTTGAAAGACCCATTGCAAACTGGCAGCGAGAGGCCGTAAGTTTCAAAGAGCAGCAGGAGTTCGGTGTTTGTGGGTACAGTGGTCACTGCTAACTTGTGTTTCTGTGTGTTTTGAATGCAGAGAAACAGAATGCGTCGGTGAAACCAGCCACAGGCAATGACAGCGGTGCCATTCCGTCCGTCTACTCCATCTTGTCGATGAGCAGTTGTGACAGTGAGGACTCTGAGGAGGATTCTTACTATAATGGAAGCTACTACGTTATCTAAGCACTGTTCCCGCAGACTCATTTGCCTGGGGGCTGCCCAGAACCAGCTTAACGGTGTTTGGGTTGCCTACTGCCGGATGAGCGGGCTGGACACCTCAAAGGAGAGACTCTGTGAAGAGGCTGGAGCGGAGAGCTAGCAGCATTTGGAAGAAGGACCTTCTATTTTTAAATGAATGTACAGCAGCTTGATCTCTGAGACGACGTTGGGCTTGTGGCAGAACGAACTGCCGTGACGCTCGACGGTTGGCGTGCGAAACCTTCCGTGATCGCTTGTGACCTGCTCGGTGTGACGTAGGAGCGTGTGCGCATCCCTTAGCGAGGGACGTGGTTAAATGTGTACCTCGGCTTAATTTATTTCAGGCAGCAGAGGGGACGGCCTGAGCGACTGAGAGCTCGGCCATCCTGGGCAGCAGGTAGGAGAGGTGGATCAGGAAAACGCGCCAGCGTGGGTTTTCCTCTTGAATTTCGTGTGGCAGCTCGAGTCCCCTGGCAGGAAAGGTAACCAAGGGCGGGTGGTGGAGCCCGGCAGCCTAAAGGCCCTGGGAGCTGAGCTGCTGGCTGTCGGGCCGCCCCGTTGGTGCGACTGATTTTCTGTTAGATAGGGATGGAGAAGAGTCAATCTTTCCGAATTCCTTAGCTAGGGCTCTTTTTGTGTAGTATCTTTTGGGTTGTTCCCTCCTCAGGCTTTTGTGTAAAGGATTTCAGAATCGGGGAGCAGCCCCTCCAGAGGTTGTTAGCGATGACTTCAGAAACTGGTACAGTCCTTGTCAGCAGCGGAGAGGAACCTCTGCTTCGTCAGCAGTGCCGCTGTTGGAGTTAGCGGAACGTCCCGTGGGCGGGGTAGGAGAGCAGCACCTGTAGGCAACCACAAGGCGCAGGAGGAGACGTTTAGTTTTATTGTTTACAAAACGTTGCTGTTGAGCCCTGGGTTGTGCTGCCCTCGCAGCAAAGCACTCGCCCCCGAGGGACTGAGCGAGTCTGGCCTCATCCTGTCAAGAATTTGTCCGTTAAGTTCCGTTTTCAGTGGCGTATGCTTTTGACTTGGCTGTTACGTGGAAAGGACTGTTTTCCACTGTGAGAAGAGGATGGGGGAAGCCCTTCTCGTCTGTAATATTTCTTTGGCTATTTGTATGTACTTTGTTGTTTCTATGTTTGTTTTAAGAAGGAAAATATAAATCCATTTCTGCATTAGTCTTCCTTGGCGCACTGAGATCAATGTCTTTCTCTTAGTTGTCTTAGATTTTTTTTTTTTTTTTTGAGAAAACACAGACTGTCTCACTTGAGTGACTGTGCTTCATGTTTTGATTGCTGCAAGCAGTGTGACTATTTTAAAGTTATTTGAAAGACCTGTGTATTCGGGAGGTGATAAAAGACAACGCAACTCTGAGCTTGTGGCTACCCTAAGGGTGATTTAGTAGATACAATCATACCTCCTAGCTCCTCCCAGTAAAGAAAGATCCCGTTAAAAAGGTGCATGAATGACGCTGCTGTCCTGCAGAAGCGGTGCATTCTACCAGATTTGATTGGTAGGACTTCAGCAGGGGAGATAGGGGTGACCTGTGGGCCAGGCATCTTTCTTAAAATCTTAGTGTAAGGTTTCTTTTGTGGAGGAGTCGTTACATCTGGAGTTTTCCTATTTAATGTCCATTGCAAGTTTCTTCTGTGAATATATGCTCTGTAGGAAGCGGGTTCCTCAAAACGCGTGTGAAACAGGCTGACATTGGAGCAGGCATTCCCAGTGAAGAGGAAAATACTCCGATTACCTTGAACTGCAGATTCTCCTGCTGTGTTTCTCTTCCACGTTGCTGCACTTTTTTTTTTTTGCTTGTTTCATTTTGCTGAATATCTTTATGTCGTTCTCTTGGCCTTTATGCATGTTGCAGAGGATAATGCTTCTAGTAACAGAGGAGCTCTTGGTGTGATTGCTGAGTGTCTCCTCTTTTCTCCTCTTGGTGTATCAAACCGCTTCCGCTGTTCTGGTAGGTGCCTCGTGTGTGGAAGTCCACGGAGAGGGGTTTAGTAATACTGTGCACTTGCAAAAGCGTTTCACTGAGCTCTCCTCCCAGTTCATAAAGTTCCTCAGTACAACTCCTATCAGATACAGAGCCAAAACTAGACATGCAGAAGTGTCAGGCAAACTACTGACCTTCTGGAGGAGATGTCTGTATTTCTGATACTGTGCTCTGCTTTGCTCTGAGGTCTGGATCCTTTCTTCTGCTTGATTGTTGTCCTGGTTTGGCTGGGACAGGATCCCAGCCCAGCCATGCTGGGCAGGCTCAAGCCAGCCGGGGCAGCTGACCTGAGGCAGCTACAGGTGTAGTCCCTCCCATCATGTCATGGTCGTTGTAAAGGGGGAAGGTTGGCTGAGGAGAGGGAGCTCCTCTGGGGTTCCTCCTACTGGGGTTCCACCTGCTCTTCCTCTTCTGCTGAGGACTACTCTGATGTCAGTGTATTCATTCAGCCAAGTATTTTCTGTTTGGACGGGCGGCGGTTTCATTGAACCGGTGGTACTTCCACCTACGGGTCCCCTCTCCTTTTTCCCCATTCCCCTCCCTGACTGGTGAGGGTTCATCGGGTGACAGAGCGACTGTTACGTTGAGCCCCGGGTACAGGCTGACCGTAGACAGTCAAGCTGGCGCCCAGCGTTTGGTTGGGACATCACTTAGTTTACCCAGGAGAGTTGTAAACCCTTAAAGGGTTGAAGTTTTTGGCAGGTTGGGATGGAATCAATCCCGATGTCGGTCTTTGCACTTGGTGGCCTTCTCAGATTTTTGATCTTAGAGTTGCTTTTGCAGCTCTGCGTGGCTCTACCGATGGTTGTTACTGGATTTTTGAGGCGGGTCGCTTTTGGGCCTCGGGGGTAAAGGTGTGGCACTGCTGAGGACTCTGGTCGTTGCTTGTGGCATCATGAATTATTTTGTAATCACACCAGTCTCTGTGAACTGGTAATGGGCAAGGAGAAGTAGCAATACCCATGGAGCCATACTGCTGTTAGCAGTTCTTTTCAATATCTTTTAGTTTAGAGAAAAACAACGGTGTAAAGGAGGGTGTGGTACAGCTACTCAGCAGACCTAGGAATTCGACTGCTGCCAGTTGCCCTGGTAGAAAAGACCAAATACAAGGATACAGCAGGTCCTGCAGGATCATCTCAAACAGATGAAGAAGTTACAACACGAGCCCTGTCTCTGGGGGAACTGAGAGATCTCCACAAGGATCATGGCTGGCATGATGGGGAGCCGCTTGGTACCTGGCTGCTCCGATGCTGGGACAGTGGGGCTGATGGAGCAGACGTGAGGGGCAGAGAGGCCAAGCAGCTCGGAGCAGTGGCAAAGGAAACTGGTGTGGACAAAAAAACGGCGGGTTCTCCTTCTCTCTGGAGATGACTGCTGTCAAGTGTTCACTACAGGTGTCCCTTTAGAGGGGATGCCATGTACTGGCCAAGCAAGGAGACAACGACCGAGAAGGGCATGAGCCACCTGAGAGAGCGAGAGCCGTGCGGGAGCTCATCTGGACAACCCACGGACACCAGTAGGTCTGTATGAACTGAAGCTGACTTGGAGCTACGTGGCACGAGCGCGCCACCCTGCTGTGCCAACACACTGGCACGATTTAGTTGGAGGGGTGACGAGGCCCCAGCTGTGGGTGAGCTGGGTGACGGGTTGTGACACTGTGCTGATGACCTCACTGCCTCCCCACGCGCTGGTATCCCTGCTGTTGACCAGACGTCGGGAAAATCCACAGAATTGCTCGGTAAAGCATTGGAGAGGTTGCCCTGCCTCGAGGAGAAAGTCCCCTCTCCGAACCAAGGCCTGCTTCAGCTGTCGGGAGAAGGAATCTCCCCGTGAAGCCTCCTCAGGAGAAGCGACCCACCTCAGCGGGTTTCCCTCTGGCGGTTCTTGCGGAACCGTGGAGAAGACAGGAGAAGGTGGGAAAAGAAGGAAAACCTCCCGCAGGACCGCAGGCACGAGTCAATGAGGTAAAAGGTAGAAATCCCACAAAAAGGGGCCCTGTCAGGAGGAATCCTGCACCGGTTTCCAGAGAGCAGCCCCCCCCCCCCCGATAGATGGGCCTTGGATGCGAAGACCTACAAGTAATGGTGATGAGAGAGTGATCCCTGTGGTACAGGTGGTAACGATGGACACTCTGCTCGGAAGTAGAGGGGCCCTGCCTCCAGCCAGGGGCAGGACAGGGACAACAGTGTCTTGGACTGTGTGGGTTCGATGGCCTGGCGCATCAGAACCCCAAAAACACAAGGCATTAGTCAATACGGGTGCCCACTGCTCCCTGATACCATCGGATTACCAAGGAACAGACTCCATTTATGTGACCTCTGGAGTTACTGGAGGCTCACAAGAGTTGACAGTAGTAGCAGCAGTAATTAGCTTGACTGGAAGTGACTGGAAGTTTTGACTGGGGCCCTGAACAGCAGCAAGCCTTTGAACAGCTCAGGAAAGAACCTGCACGTGCAGTCTGGGCTACAGGATAAACATCAACAACTGTACATCTGCACGTACCCTTGGAGATGCCGTGCCCTGAACCGTTAACCGTCCTGGGATGGCATCAAGCGTCTCCAGCCTCACATCCAGGAGGATTTGGGTTACGACTCCCAGCTAGTCACGGCTGAGGCACAGCAGCAGGCTTGCTGCAGGGTCACGACTCGCTGCTTTCTGTTGGAAGACAGCGGTCACGTAGCGGGATAATCAACCACTTCCAGAGCAGCGTGTGGTTTATCGCTGTGGTTTATCGCTGTCGGCAGGAGTGGCCGGGAGGGAGGGCTAATGGACTGCGGAACGGGACTATCGCAGAGACTCGGAGTTGTTTAACTCCTTCGCATCTGTGGATTCCAGGATCAATCTGACCATCGCTTTTCTCTTGCACGTGTAATCTACCACGCAAGTGCTTGGTGAGCCTGAGCAACAGCTGCCATTTCACTCTGCAGATCAGGCAATTTAATAATCCCGCTGTGCTCCCCCCCATTTCAGTGGTTTTCTCCGAAGATATGCTCTGGCTAGTCCGTGTTTCGCTTCCTGCTCATAGTCCTTCCTCCCTCCTTG